AGGAGTGGTTGAAAAAGATGTGGTATTTTTACACAATGGAGTATTATTCAGCTATTAAGAATGATAAACTCGAAGTCTTTATATTTAAGTGGATGCCACTTGAAGATATACTCATAAGTGCAATAAACCAGACACACATGTGTAAATATCATATAGTTCCCCTAGTATAAGAACTCAAAAGAAGAAATACAAATAGAAAGGTGTTGTATGTTATGAGTCAGTGCCAAAAGAAATGACGAGAAGATCTGATGAATGTAGCTTGAGAGGTCTCACTGAGATTAGTTTCTCTCGAAGTGAGCCCAAAGCCTCAGAAGCATCTCACATTTATTGAGGGGTAAAGGCAGGCTAAGGAATGTGCATAATTACTTAAGTGAATACAAGCTACTATCTCTATTGACTTCCACCATTTGCCTAACTCTAGGTCCACACAAATGCTAGCCAATAACATCCCAAGCAAGGGATCAAAGAGCAGGGCACCAGAAGAAGCTGTTATCTGCAGGCTTGAATCCCAGCTTTCCAGGATTTACAAGTGAGAGACAGCGGCTCTCCCTGGGCTCTGTCTATTGTTCCCTGCTCCCTTGGGACATTAGGCTTTTGTTTCATATCTATATTCCTTTTTCTTCTTTTTTTTTTAATCAAATTGGTAGGACAGTTCCAATAATTAACACATTGCATGCTGCCTTCACAGTGGTTATTTGTTGTACAAGATGCATACATGATATCCTATTTACAAACACAATTACAACAAATCCCTCTATTCCCTGAATTAAGAGAATGTAAGTATATATCTATTCTAACCATTTTGAATACACAGATACAAAATGGACATTGATCTATATCCCCTGTTTTTGTTTAGTTCCATCATTCAAATATTATAGGTGTGTGAACTCAGCAAAATATTCTAAAATAGTCCAGTAGTCCATAATAGTATTGGGTCTTCCACTTAACTGGCAATGGCAGAAATTGTTCACCTGAGTCCCCTACATCTCAACATAACAACATGGCTTTATTTCATGTACTTCATTTTTATACTTTCCTGCTGGATGGTTAAGACCAAGATAAAGCAAAACTTATGTAATAAGAATTGTAGCTTTTAGAGAGCCGGGGAGATGGCTCAGTGGAATAAGTGCTTCCCTGGCAAGCACAGGAGCCTGATAAGTGCTTCCCTGGCAAGCACAGGAGCCTGAGTTCAATCCCTTGTTCCGAAAAAAAAAAAAAAAAAAAAAATTGTAGCTTTTGGATCTGATAAGGTCAGTCAAATCCCCTCAGGATTTATCCTGAGACCCTGTACCTCAGATTGTAGATCCTTTGTCAGTGTCAGCCACGTGGATGAATCACAGCCATTGCTTGGCCAATTTGCTGTCTGGGAAAGACTGAAAGAATGTTTTCTCTCTATATGACTCTCCTTAGGCACACTCTACATCATC